AGTCCAGGTGTACTTTCTATAGTCCAGTTGTACTTTCTATAGTCCAGGTGTACTTTCTATAGTCCAGGTGTACTTTCTATAGTCCAGATGCACTTTCTATAGTCCAGGTGTATTTTCTATAGTCCAGGTGAACTTTCTATAGTCCAGATGCACTTTCTATAGTCCAGGTGTACTTTCTATAGTCCAGGTGAACTTTCTATAGTCCAGGTGTACTTTCTATAGTCCAGATGTAAGCCAACCCTAACTATAGGATTTATCAAAAAGGAAAGTCTTAAACTGGACAATGTGTCAGCCTCATGGACAGAGATTGGAAGTTGGTTCAACAAGAGAGGAGCCTGAGAACTGAAAGATCTTCCTCCCATTCTGCTTTTGGAAACTCTAGGAACCACAAGTAAACCTGCAGTCTGAGAGTGAAGTGCTCTGTTAAGAAATATGGAACAATAAGATCTGTAATATAAGATGGAGCTAGGTTGTTGACAGCTTTGTAGGTTAGAAGTAAGATTTTGAATTATATTCTGGATTTGACAGGGAGCCAATGGAGAGAAACTAAAACTGGAGAGATATGATCTCTCCCAGTAACTCCAGTTAAGACTCTGGCAGCAGCATTTTGGATCAACTGAAGACGTTTTAAAGAAGTATTTGGACATCCAGTTTCCAAGACCTTCTCTGAGAAATGTAGTTGTTTGCTGACAAAGTAGACGGGTCGGTACGTGGACATTTGGTTCAGGTTTGTACCTGAACCTGCCTGGTTCTTGTATTCTTGTTGTTGTTTACTCTGCAGTGGGAAGAGGCCGGGTTCTGAGCTGTTAGCAGCCTCAGACCACATGTGGTGAGCCTCTCGTCCTCCTCTCCTCTTCAGAACCACTCAGCATTAATAATGGATCCAGTTTCAGCACCGGGCTGAGCTCCTCGGGCAGAACAGATGATCTGATCACTTTTACATCGCTTTACAATGTAGCTGTTTTTGTTTTGTCTCGATTTTATTTCTTCTATTTACTTTTCATTTTATTTGATTGTCTGTTGTTGTCTGCACCTCATCTGTGTTCTTTGTTTAAATCAGGTCTCTCCTGTAAAAGAGTCCTCCAGGTTCAATGAGACTAACCTTTAGAAATAAAGGTTGAATGAATGTGATGATTAAAAAAAACACTTCCTGTTTAAAGAAACTCTGCTGGTTCTGAGTGTTCAGACCTTCCTTCACTCCAGATCCTTTCTGGGTTTTAAAATCGTTTCCTCATGAGAATCAAACCTAATACAACTTTATTTATTCAAGGATTCAAGGTTCTTTATTTGTCAATCCACCACATGTGGTACATGAGGTGGAACAAAATTGTGTACACAAGCTCCCAGTTACATCCAACTTTATATTTTTATAAACTGTAAAAGAAAAACACTGATAAGATCAAAGATATGAACTAAGAAACACATCAACTAAAACACACTAAGCACTAACAGCATAAAACATTACATTGAACAGCAGCACAAACATGAGTCTGTGTGAGCAGATGAGTACGAATGAACACAGCAACATGAAACAGATCAGCAGCAACATGAAACAGATCAGCAGCAACATGAAACAGATCAGAAGCAACATGAAACAGATCAGCAGCAACATGAAACAGATCAGAAGCAACATGAAACAGATCAGCAGCAACATGATGTGATTTTTTTTCACAGTGATTCTCCTGTTTAGAGATTCATGAGTGTAACTTCTTCTAAGTCAGGGTAGAAGCTGTTCCTCAGTCTAGTGGTTCTACACTTTATGCTCCTCAACCTCCTTCCTGAGGGGAGTGGGGCAAAAAGTGTGTGTGCTGGGTGAGTGGGGTCCTTCATGATGCAGGTGGCCCTCTTCCTGCATGTGGAGGTGTAGATGTCTGTGATGGTGGGGAGGCTGATTCCGACAAACTTATAAAGACCTTTAGAACAACTACAGCTGCAGTAAAGGTACATGTAAAACCATGAACACTGAAACACTTACAACAACAATAAAACAACATGTATACACTGCAACAACAATAAAACAACATGAATACACAACAACAATAAAACAACATGTATACACTTACAACAACAACAATAAAACAACATGTATACACTTCAACAACAATAAAACAACATGTATACACTTCAACAACAACAATAAAACAACATGTATACACTTCAACACCAACAATAAAACAACATGTATACACTTCAACAACAACAAGAAAACAACATTTATACACTTCAACAACAACAATAAAACAACATGTATACACTTCAACAACAACAACAATAAAACAACATGTATACACTGTAACAACAATAAAACAACATGTATACACTTCAACAACAACAATAAAACAACATGTATACACTGCAACAACAATAAAACAACATGTATACACTTCAACAACAACAATAAAACAACATGTATACACTTCAACAACAACAATAAAACAACATGTATACACATACAACAACAACAATAAAACAACATGTATACACAACAACAACAACAATAAAACAACATGTATACACAACAAAACAACATGTATACACTTAAACAACAACAAAAATAAAACAACATGTATACACTTCAACAACAATAAAACATGTATACATAAAAACAATAAAACAACATGTATACACAACAACAACAATAAAACAACATGTATACACTTAGACAACAACAATAAAACAACATCTATACACCTCAACAACAACAATAAAACAACTTGTATACACTACAACAATAATAAAACAACATGTATACACTTCAGAGTCAGAGTCAGAGTTTCTTTATTGTCATTCGCACCTCATGTGGTACATGTGGTGGAGCGAAATTATGTACACGGGGTCCCAGTTACATCCAACAATAAAATGTATAAGAAAAACAGTAATAACATCTAAGATATGAACAAAAATAAAACAACATATATACACTTCAGCAACAAAAATAAAACAACATGTATACACTTCAGCAACAATAAAACAACATGTATACACTTCAACAACAACAATAAAACTACATGTATACACTTCAACAACAATAAAACAACATGTATACACAACAACAATAAAACAACATGTATACACTTACAACAACAACAATAAAACTACATGTATACACTGCAACAACAATAAGACAACATGTATACACTTCAACAACAATAA